TGTGTGTGTGTGTGTGTGTGTGTGTGTGTGTGTGTGTGTGTGTCAGTGGATGGGTAGTGGAGAGAAGACAGTACTCCAGACTGAGATAAGGGGTAACAGTGAAAGAGCAGTGTTATGGGTTGAATTTTGTCCCCCAAGGAGATCTGTTGAAGTTCTAACCCCCAGGGGGTCTAGACTGTGGCCTTATTTGGAACAGGTTCTCTGTAGATGTAATTAGTTAAGTGAGATCATATTAGAGTAGCGTAGGCCCCTAATCCAATAAAACTGGTGTCCTTTTTAAGATTAAGTTAGGGTAACACTGGTTAATAACATTATGTAAATCTCAGGTGTAAAATTCTATAAAACAACACTCTATAAGATAAGAGAACACATGTGAAGACAGACATGCACAGAGGGAAGACGCAGAGGTTGGAATCATGCTTCTACTAACAAGAACACCTGGGCAACCAGGAGAGGGAAGAAGCAAGAGAGGATGCGCCTCTAGAATCTTCTGAGGGAGCATGGTCCTGCCATACCTTGGTTTCAGCTCTGGCCTCCAGAACTATGAGATAACACATTTCTGTTGCTTTAAGGCACCAAGTAGCAGCCCCAGGTAACTAATAGAAGTAGGTGCAAACGCAGCACAGAAATGAGAGAGAGTGTGCACCATTCCTGTGGGTACACATCACTGAGGCGAGGACAGGAAGGCTGGAGTGGCCAGAGATGAAGCTAGACAGGGAGGAGGCAGGAGGCCAGATCACAAAGGGCCTTGAAAGTCACATTAAAATTCTGGATTTTATACTGAAGGCAGTAGAAACCCATTGGAATGCTTTAAGCCAAAGAATGACATGATCAGATATGATGGTTGTCAGCATGTCCAGTTCAGTTCCACAAATATTTATGGAGTGCCTGCTACATGCCTGGCACTATCCCAGATAAGGGGGGTAGAACAGTAAGTGACACAGCCCCTGTCCTGTCGAAGCCCATGTTGTCCATTACACCGGAGACCCAGCCACATTCTTCTCCTGGGGTTCTATGGCACACCCCAGTATTCTACAATACATCCCCCATCTTGCTGAAGCTAGTTTGAGCTGGGTTTCTGTCATTTGGTATTTGGGGCCAGGATTGTGGCTGAGGCCAAACCCAGGCCAAGCATATGGAGTAAGAAAGGCAGGGGGTGATGATGGGCCAACTAAGGGTGACAGCAAGTCATCAGGGCCAGAGAAAAAGGGGACACAGAGGAGACTGGATGCAGAGAGGGCCTGGCCAGGGAGGCAGGAGGAGAGGGGATGGTGGTCAAGAGAGACAAATACCAAAGAGGTAATGTAAGGGTGGAAAGAGGCCCTGCTTATGATCACTAAGAGGTCACGGTGACCTTCACACAAGCAGCTGTGGTAGGGTGAAGCTACATTCCACAGGCTGGGGGACAGGAAGACACGAGGAGATGAAGCCAAGAAACTTGGCTGTGAGGAGAGAGAGAGAGAGAGAGAGAGAGAGAGAGAGAGAGAGAGAGAGAGAGAGCTGCTGTAGGGTTTTCAAGAGGAGATTTTCGTGTGAAGGGAAGGAGCCAAGGCAGGGTGAAGTGGTCAGAAGGAGAAGCAGTCACTGATGGGGAGGGTCCCTGAGAAGAGGTCCCGTAGCCCAGGACATGATGTGGCAGGAGTTAGATCTTGTGAGGACAAGAGAAGCCACAGCTCTCTATGCCCCGGGTGGAGGAAGTGAGGACAAAGGCAGATGAACTTGTTTATGGGTAGACTGAACAAACAATGAGATGGATCTGGGTATACACCACTGGTTCCCATTCTCTCTAGAAGGGAAGGGAGGCCAAATGCTATAAGAAGGAGGTGAGGTGATTGGAGAAGGGCGGGGATTTGACGAGGGACACGGTGTAGGCTGCTGAAGGCTGGCTGAGGGGCACAGAGATGGGCACCCGAGGTCTGGGTGCAGCTTCCTGTGAGTAGCTGCAGTGAAGCTGACCCCCTCTCCTGTTGCCCTTGCCATGGACATGCCTGGCAGATCCCCAGCCCATGGTCAGAAAAGCACGAAGCTTCTCCAGTTCTGGTCACAGGGCTCCTGCACTAAGCCACATTCTTTCATTCCCCTCTGGGTGGAATGTTGTTTGCCTGGAATGTTGGGTTGTTGTTGTTTTATTTATACTTTCAGTGTCACCTCACTCATCTTTGATCACCCATGTCAAATGCCAACTTCCCACAAGACCATCTCAGTGCTCTTGCCTCGAAGGAGGGTATTAGTATTTTCCTATTTCACGGACGAGAAAAGTGAGATACAGAGAAGTTAGGTAATTTGTCTGAGATCCATGGTGCTACTGGTAGGATTTGAACCCAGGTCTGTCTGAAGCCAAAGCCTATAGTCTTTCCCTCTCCTCTAAATACCTCCAATTAGGGAAAGTAGTTTAAAAATTTCCAGTGCAATACTCATGCAAAAAGCGGTGTGGGTTTATAGAAAAAGTGCAATCAGGGGATCAGGTTAAGCAGAAACAGGAAGACCTGGATCAGCCTACCAAGTATTCCCTAGAGCTTTTTCACTCAAATCATCACAACGACTCTGGTGTCTGTAGGCTTTTACTTGTGACCTGTCCAAGGCCACACAATGAGGTTAGGAGGAAAGTCAGTGCTCAAACTCAGGATTTCCACCTTAAGTCCAGGGTTCGTTCCACCAAGGGAAAACAATGTCCAGGAACAGAGAAAAACCTTCCTCTGCCTCCTTCCACTTGGATGCACATCCCGCTGTGAGGAGAGAGAGAGAGAGAGAGAGAGAGAGAGAGAGAGAGAGAGAGAGAGCTGCTGTAGGGTTTTCAAGAGGAGATTTTCGTGTGAAGGGAAGGAGCCAAGGCAGGGTGAAGTGGTCAGAAGGAGAAGCAGTCACTGATGGGGAGGGTCCCTGAGAAGAGGTCCCGTAGCCCAGGACATGATGTGGCAGGAGTTAGATCTTGTGAGGACAAGAGAAGCCACAGCTCTCTATGCCCCGGGTGGAGGAAGTGAGGACAAAGGCAGATGAACTTGTTTATGGGTAGACTGAACAAACAATGAGATGGATCTGGGTATACACCACTGGTTCCCATTCTCTCTAGAAGGGAAGGGAGGCCAAATGCTATAAGAAGGAGGTGAGGTGATTGGAGAAGGGCGGGGATTTGACGAGGGACACGGTGTAGGCTGCTGAAGGCTGGCTGAGGGGCACAGAGATGGGCACCCGAGGTCTGGGTGCAGCTTCCTGTGAGTAGCTGCAGTGAAGCTGACCCCCTCTCCTGTTGCCCTTGCCATGGACATGCCTGGCAGATCCCCAGCCCATGGTCAGAAAAGCACGAAGCTTCTCCAGTTCTGGTCACAGGGCTCCTGCACTAAGCCACATTCTTTCATTCCCCTCTGGGTGGAATGTTGTTTGCCTGGAATGTTGGGTTGTTGTTGTTTTATTTATACTTTCAGTGTCACCTCACTCATCTTTGATCACCCATGTCAAATGCCAACTTCCCACAAGACCATCTCAGTGCTCTTGCCTCGAAGGAGGGTATTAGTATTTTCCTATTTCACGGACGAGAAAAGTGAGATACAGAGAAGTTAGGTAATTTGTCTGAGATCCATGGTGCTACTGGTAGGATTTGAACCCAGGTCTGTCTGAAGCCAAAGCCTATAGTCTTTCCCTCTCCTCTAAATACCTCCAATTAGGGAAAGTAGTTTAAAAATTTCCAGTGCAATACTCATGCAAAAAGCGGTGTGGGTTTATAGAAAAAGTGCAATCAGGGGATCAGGTTAAGCAGAAACAGGAAGACCTGGATCAGCCTACCAAGTATTCCCTAGAGCTTTTTCACTCAAATCATCACAACGACTCTGGTGTCTGTAGGCTTTTACTTGTGACCTGTCCAAGGCCACACAATGAGGTTAGGAGGAAAGTCAGTGCTCAAACTCAGGATTTCCACCTTAAGTCCAGGGTTCGTTCCACCAAGGGAAAACAATGTCCAGGAACAGAGAAAAACCTTCCTCTGCCTCCTTCCACTTGGATGCACATCCCTTTGGCAGCACAGGCAAAGGCTGGGAGTGCTCTCTGCTCTTACTGGCAGGAGGTGCAGATACGGGGCGGGGGGTGGTGTGTGTGTGTGTGTGTGTGTGTGTGTGTGTGTGTGTGACTCACCTTGCGGTACCCTTCCCTGCTCCTTGACCAGGAGGAGGCAGCCTAACGTTCGCAGCTCCCACATCCCTACTCTATAGTGACTGGCTCAGTTACATTCTGAGCAAGGAAGGGACAATCAAGAGAGCCTTTAGGTATGGGAAAGGCACCATGCCTCCCAAGACCCGGCCCTGTGCTTTCCCTTTTCATACTCCAAGAAGAAGAAAAGTCAGTGTGTATATCCCCTCTGCACTCACCTGTTCAAGAAGGCATTGCCAAAGGCGTTGAGTTTCCGGAAGGGTTTCTTAGGATCCACCACCAGAGCGTTCCCAGGGATGACCCCCTCCACCTCACCCTGCATCACTGCAATGAAGGAGTCGGTGGTCGGCTCGGGCCCAATCCTCATGCCTGGAAAATCCTGTTCCAGCAGGTACCTGGCAGAGGGAGCACAGTCATAAAGCAGGGATGCTGCTGGTAGATCAACACTGAGCATCTGCCACAAGGCAGGACGGAAGGGCAAGGTCCAGAGCCACGAGATTTCTCGGCAGGGAGAGATGACTGCAGGGCAGGGTTTCAAAGATGTGGTGGAGGAGGTGGGATTACCACTGAACTTAAAATACCAAATCTGTTCTTCTTGGTTCTTACCCTTTTCCTCTCCCCGAGTCAGTAGGGAAAAAATGCAAGGTTTGGGCTCGGGGCTGGAGCATGGGTGGACAGTGACTGCTGCACAGAGCATGGCAGACTTTACAACTGAAGGTCACCTGCTGGCGGATCTGCATAAAGACTTGGTTAGAATTAGAGCATCCATGGACTCTGCCAGCTTTCCACGGGTCATTATTTATTTATCTGGTTAGTCGGTCCTTTAATAGATAACTAGCTCATACATGAGACGAAAATACAGCCAGTGTGCCTGACCGGCGTGGCTCAGCGGTTGAGCATCGACCTATGAACCAGGAGGTCGCTGTTCAATTCCTGGTTCAGGGCACATGCCCAGGTTGCGGGCTCGATCCCTGGTGTGGGGCGTGCAGGAGGCAGCCGATCAATGACTCTCTCTCATCATTGATGTTTCTATCTCTCTCTCCCTCTCCTTTCCTCTCTGAAATCAGTAAAAATAAAAAAAAAATACAGCCCGTGTGACAGCTACATTATGAAAAGTGGGTCTCCATTCCCTCTAGACTTTTGGTCCACTCTCTAGGTGCCAGGTCCCTCTCTTCTCCTGGCCAGAGCAGTGACAGCCCAAGGCCATGCCCCTCTAAACAGCCCCCTTTAGAAGTCAAAAGCAAAGGCACATGATGAGCCAGAGAACGAAGAGAACAGCTCCTAAAGACAACTGAGTCTTTTAGAAGACGCTCAGAACAGCTTTGGGCCCAAATAGCATGAGGCTGGATTCAGGGGAGGAGCCCAGAACTGCCTCCGGTTGGGACTGACCAGAGGAGAGTCCCAGGGGCATCTTCCAAGACCATGATGGACGAGGAGCTAAGGGTGTACTGACCAACAAACACAGACTCTGGGGGAGCCCTCACTGTGCTGAGAACCTCTTGAACTTTGAGGGCCCCCAGGAGAAGAGAGGTCGAATCAGAGGCTGTTAGTTGGGAGGGGAACATGGAGACCTCCTAGACCAGTGGTCCTCACCCCGGCTTCACAGCTGAGCTACCTCGGAGCTCTAGCTAAGGTGCCTGGTCCCCACCCCCGGAGGTTCTGACCCATTCACTCAGAGGCGGGGCCCTAGCCACTGGTGCTTTTTAGGAGCTCCCCAGGTGACCCAAATGTGCAGTTGGGGTTGACAGCACTCCCATTTTACTGATAAGACCTCTGACACTCCATAGCATTTCCACATGCCAGACATCACACCAATAGTTTTGGGAACATTATCTCCTTTGGGTCTCACAGCAGCCCTCTAGGTAGGTATTGAAGAAATGGAGGCCTGGGAGGGGTATGTGACTTTCTCCCAAGTTAAATAGCTAATAGTAAGAGCTGAAACCCAGACCGAAATCAATCTAACACCAAATCCTTTGCTCTTCAACCGCCTTCTACCCTGAGGAAGTCACTGCAGAGAGAGCTGATCCAGGCCCCACCGAAGGTCAGGCAGAGCTGGGACCAGAGGCCATGTCTCCAGGGCCCAAGTGCTCTGCCCATCCCATGCCTCCCCCAGGTGGGCCTGCAGCAGTGGTCCTGCTCTGCTCACAGGGTGGTGGCCAGGGAGATGCGCTGGGGTTTCTTCCGGCTCATGGGTCTCCTGCCGGTGCCTCCGAGAAGGGTTCGGAGCTGTTACATGACTCTGTGGTTCAGGCAGTTTAAGTCGGTTGCTATGGGTCCTCCCCAGGGAGCCAACAGAGAAGCTGGTGCCCAGAAGGCTCCCCTTCCACCTGCTGCCGGCACACACCGGAGGGTTTAGGTGGCCTGGGGAAGCCCTTCGTCTCCCTCCAGCATCCCAGCCCGACAGTCTGGGTGTGAAGCAGGATTTCCTCCATCAGAGGACCATTGTGAAATCTGGCACTGCGGCTATGAATGAGGAGACTTCCAACAGCTGCACACTGGGCGAGCGCTTCCTGCTTTCTCAATGTGCCTCCTCCTCCAGGCCCTCACAGGAGAGGCAGGGAATCTCAGCAGCCCGGGGCCAGCAGGCCTGGTTTTTGAACCAGGAGGGACATGCCTTTCAGAAGGCACTGGGCCTCTATGAACCTCAGTACCTCCCTCTATAACACGGGAGGTAATAGTTCCAATTTATCAAGCACCTGGGATGTGCCAAGCACTGTTCTAGATTTTCTATGGATTATCTCATTTCATCTTTACATCTACTCTGAGGTGAGTACTATGACCCTCATGGTCAAATAGGCCTAATAAGAAAGCCCACCTCATAGGGTGTTCTGAGGGTTAAACTAGTTACAGTCCTTCAGCACTTAACCCAGTGCCTGGCACCCAGATTTATCATTCCATTTTAAAGAGCGGGAGACAGAGGTTAGACAATTTGCCTCAGGTCATGCCATTGGTAAATAGCTGAGCTCGGATTTGAACCTGTCACTTGGATTTGAGAATTTATGTTCCTAACCACCACTGTTACTATCTCCTTTCCTGCCGTAGGTCTCTTCTTGACCAGGAAATGCAAAAAGGCTGAGTCCCACATGGGACTAGAATGAGGAATGGGACAAGAAGGCCATGAAGGAATATGGCTTGGCAGGAGGCTGTCCAGGGCCCAGGCCATGGGAGAAAGGTAGGCTCTGGGTCCCACAAACCCAGCAATGTACTCACCTCCATACACGCCTGCCCTAGGGGTTCTCAGCGAGGCCTCAATGAGTGACGCATGGCATGCAAAAGCTGTTGCTATCAAGTGACCAGAGCAGGCCCCAGGCCCACTGGCTCTCAAAGGACATTCTTGGGACTTAAAAATAGTAAAGCCAGATTTCCCTGGGAAGACGTTTCATGAGAACCAACACCATGCCAGGGGAACCCCATCCATTCTGTCTGTGTGCCAGGAGCCCCTGCCCCGTGAGCACGTGGGTGAGAAGCCCTACGCGGAGCACTGTAGTGGGGTGGCAAGTGTGAGTTCTGAGGCAGGAGGGGCTGGTGGGTGACCAAGGGCTTGAGGGAAAGCTGACATAGACAGAAGTGGGAAGAAGCAATTCTGAGGCAGCTTTGAGAACAGACTGAACAGGGCCAAATGGCAGTGATGGAGTCTCCTGCTGACCCAGGCGGCTCAGATTCCATCCCTGAGAGACGTGCTGTGAGATCAGATGATCAAAGGGTGACTTCCCAGCACGACAGGGCCACTTCCCGGGATGAGCCGGAGCCCCAGCCTGCGTCTGTCTGAGCAAAAGACAGGAGGCTGGGCCGGCTGTCCTGCCCTTGTGGCTAAACCCACATGAGCCCAAACTTGCTGACCACACAAGGGCCTGGAGGAACACAGAGTCCAGAAAAGTCACCAGCACATCCAGGGACACAGTGGGGCCGGGCAGAGAACCGGAGCTGGGTAAATTCTCAGGAACATTTGGGTATGGCTTGCAGCACCGGGTGCCCCCTTCACAAAGCCTCCACTGTGTCCGGAAAGGACAACCTATTGAGGGATCTCATCACTGCTGCTCTGTGGGAAGTGATACAAATCGCCTCTGTTGCCAGGCACAACCATTCCCACGGCAGCAGACACAAAGCCAAGTGAATTCAAGCCTGGGTGGGAACGGCTGAGACCAGGACGTGCAGGGGTAAGGAGGGGCTGCTGAGTGGTAGGAGCTGTTCTGGGACCTTTACCCAAATTATTCCACTGAATCGATCCTACAAGCACTGTGGGATGGCAGCATTATTTCAGTTTTGCAGTGGAGTCAATTGAGATATAGGTTGCCCAAGTTCATGGCCAAATGAAAATATTTAG